CGCAGTAGGGTGTATTTTGAAACCATACAATCTGAAATTATGAAAACTAAGTTTTCGGTATTTTTTTCATTTTTGCTCTCTATTGCATATATCTTGATATGTTTTAAAGTTAAACGGGCTGGAAAACCTCTATATCCGAATGCATTAGACAGAGAGAATGATCACTAAAAAAGGGTGGTCACATAATCAAACCAAGTTACGAACAAACTGATTAAAAGCGTTAAATGCTAAGAACGCATGCAAAAAATCAAAAAAAAAAAAAAAAAACTATATAATTTCAACCAGATGCTATTTTACATCTAATTTCACAATACAATACATCACTTCAAATAATTACTACCGTAATTTGAATTTAAAACGGTAAGCTTTACTAAAATCCGACTCAAACTTTTCTTAAAACTGCAATCTTGGAGCCGAAATCACGAATTATGAGACAAACAGTAGCTATTTGCAGTTCCAAAGGAAGCAACTTATACCGTGGAACGAAACTTGTTGCGGGTCGTTTTGGTCTCTCTTCCGGATGCACAAAGAAAAGCATGTGAGGAAATCCTGTACCAAAATAAGAACCATCAGTATTCTGATGCTTTGATGACTTTGGCACATAAACGTCGCAACAACGAGGACAGTAGAGTTTAACCATTGATTCGCCAGGTACATCCGAAAGACCTAAAATGAGGTTTACATTATGGACCTCCAAAAAACAAGGATTCTCCATATCAGTTAAAGCCTTATCTTTAACCAATGATAAAAAAGGAACATAACCAACCTGACTGAGAAGAAAAGCTAATTCGTCCTAATAGCTTTACTACTTACAATCTAAATGTTTGAATTTTGTTTGAACAAAAAGAGAAATAAGAAAAGTGAACAAGCTAAAAATGGAGCAGAAAAAGAACAAGAAAAGAACAAGATTAAGTATATTTCAATTTTCGTTTGATCCAAATGAATCTTGCAATTTATGAAACTGCTGCAAAGAAGCAAAAAAAAAAGAAATTTTAAATCTTCAAAAAAAGTAAAATGAAATTGACCTATTGGTAGCATTGGTTGATTCTCGCAATAAACACGAGGACATACGCCAAAGTCATGATCATGCCACTTGTCAATCATTTGCTGGATTCCGCGATTTGTAAGAATATAGCGAGCATGAATTAATCCATAAAGCATTTCAGCAGCTTGCTCAACCAAATCTGACTGGTTCGGATTGTCTTCAAAGTCGTCATCTTGAAAAAAGGAAACTAAGGCATGACTTGCAGCTTTCGAAAAGTTAATTTATACGGCCATATTTTTATAGTTATAATCTCTTTATTAAATGTTTTACTCAGTTGTAAAACGAAAAACGGAGATTTCTGCAACTATTAACCGCTCCACATCCAAAAATTTCCAGTAGAATAGGTACATTGGCTACAGTTAGTGCAGATACCAAGTATTAAAAATTAGTTTTCATACAAACAAGAAAACAAAATTAGTTTTCGGCTTATATACAATTACAATTTTTTAAACAATTACAATTTAAAAAAAAAAGAACCTGGTTCTAAATCCAAAATCATATCAAGTGCTTGCCGGTAGTGTGGAACTTGCTCATTGAGACCAGTTAAATTAAACTTATCTTGGATATATTCCTCGTCTACCTGAAACATAAAAATACAAGAATACAACAAGCAAGCTGAGAAAAAACGCCCATAATAGAAGTTTTAATACAATAATTTACAAGATCACGTAACAATGCAATGTCCTTTCAATTCATCGTACAGTACAGTATTCGATACTAAAGGAAACAGAACAATAACGATGCAATAAACCTAGAGAACTGTTTATTAACTGCAACTGAATGAACCGAATTGTAGACTTGACTTATTCCTCGTTCTTTGTACCACACCAAACTCTCTATAAATTATTACGGAGACATTTACTAAAATTTTTAGGAACTTTTAATAACTGACCTCACAAAAGAACTCATTTCCTCGTAGGCCGCAAAACCATGTGATCCATGACACTTCCTCTGAACTACTCATTTCTGAACCGGTGTGATGAAGTTCCGACCTTTCCACTATTGCTCGTCTGCTAAATGCAGTTCGATTTAAAAAATTACTGAAATTATTCTTCACAGTCCTATCGATTAACATTTGTCAATACTCATTCTATGCCTAATTTCCTTTTTAAAAGTATTTAAGAATAGTTTGCTCAACGGCTTACTAATATATTGATTCTGTTCGGTTCCGGATGAGATCATACACTGCACTATAATTGGTATCAAATAAGGACAAGTTGACTTAAGTCTCCCTCCACCTTACTCTACTCTTCCACCCACCATTTCACCTATTCCCCATACCCAACCCACGCCGTCATTTACCCAACTGAAATAAAACAGCAAACTCATGGAATTCAAAAGTGGGAAAGCATGGCCCGGCGAGATGGTATAATGTAATATCGCTGCTCAGATGTGAGACAATTATAAGATTTAGATGCCTTCGCAACTACCACTGGTTGTCAAAGTATGTCGCAATCAAATTATTATCTATGACCATAGATATGATATCAACTCATTACTTATGACTACAAATTTTTGGATGAAAAGCTCATCCATAATTTACAGCGCAACTTATTGAATGTAAATCATTTAATAAATTGCTTATTTTTTCATTCTCCATTTCATGCAAAACAGTGAAAATTTTAGCATATATTTAATATTTTAGTTTTTATAAAAGCTGCAAGGATGACAATAACTGAATAATTGAATCTTCGGTGTTATTGATTATAAATAGAAGAATTCTGAGATGGTTTGTGTTCTATTTCGTTAGTATACTGCTCTACTCCTCTTTCTAATTGTAGAATAAAACCAAAAGCATATTATTAATGGTGTTGATAACAATTATTATTGGTTAGAAACACCTGATTAATTACTCTAAAAGACTGTATTTTTCTTTCTATAGTTATGACCACATTTTCCTTTGTTTTTCATCAACACTTTGAATTTAACTCGCATTTTTTGTAATTCAAATAGTTAAATAGTATTATAGTGTAGCAGATGTTCCAAATTCTATCAAAACAATTACTTCACCGCAGGAATCTGAATTGAACAGAAGGAAGTCAGGTTCTAATTTGTTGATAAATGTATTTCAGAAGTTCATAGTAGTCGTCGTTTAATTTGTTTCATTATGATTCACAGTGAATGATGTTATTAGTTCTCTCTTACATTTAGATTCTTAAACCGTACTGCATAATGTTACCTCGCTTAATTATATTAAGTCATTTAGTTTGGATGAAATTAAATTATGAGATTAAAAAGCATCAAATTTGTTAGCTAATTCTGGTTACACTGCGTAAGTAAATAATTTGATCCGAGCTTACAATATCACACAAAATGTAATGCCATACAATTCAAGCTATATGATGTATCAATCATGCCAAGTTCCGAAATGTCAAGCAATGTAAAGGAATTCTTCCGTCAATTTATGCTTTGTCTTAAAAAACTTCAAAACATCGGATAATGGGTGTGTAAAGAACTAATTATAATATACCTTAATTTTAACTGTAATACAAATTCATTTTCGTTATCAAGATTATTCCATCCCAGATGTGATCCACACGTTTTAAGGACTGAGCCGTTTACACCTTTTGCCATTGTTTGATGAGCCTTCAATAAAACACCAGCGGTAAGCAAATGAAACCAAATTAATTTCATTCGTTCTTCAACAGTGCAACCTCACTCATTGCATAATCAATTGGTTATTTGTTACTGAACTTATGACCTCAGAGATTCTATTTACTTTGTCAAAATACAATTTATTGATAATTATTGGTAAGTGAAGAAAAAAACTGCTTCCAGATTTAATATTAATTTAATAACTGGTAGTTTTGTGATGAGATAAACATGTATCAAGAGCACATTCCCGTACCAATGATAGCACAATATTATTGTATCGATTCTTCGAGATACAGTCAGACAGGAAAAGTATTGAATACTAATCCTGACGAATTAGTTAATAGGAAAATGAGACTTTTAAGACATCACAACATTTTTGTGAATTTATGGTTGTTGACTGCGTTCGTTACTCAGTAAACTAAATAGGCATGCAGTTAAAAATACTAAATGTACACTTCCCTCCATTCTAGTCCAAAGTCTACAAAATTCGTACAATAATTTGGTTTGTCTCGGTTTGGCAACAGCTGAAAAAGGACGGATTGAAACTTATAAAACCAATCTTTTTTTGGTGTACCTGAACCATCCATCAGAATGGATGTTACAATACTGAAAGCAACGTTAACAGATCTGAAAAGGATTTAGGGTATGATAAAAGGCATTCCATTATTAATTAAGTGTACTTGAAAATCAAGTTTCTAGCTAGAGATACCTCACTGAAAGAAATCAGATGTATCTACCTGAATTGGATTTATCCCTAATACTTATTGTCAAATTTTCACATTGATTAAATTTCAGCTGGGAATATGCACTCTCTCCTTTTCCTCCTCATCAGTCAACTTACCAATTAGAAATCAACCATGCAAGAATATGTACAATTTAGACTTTTTCAATTGGCGCAATTATTTGTCGAAATATTCACGAAAATTTAAATTCGAAACTGGCGCCAGATGCTTGGAATGACAGCATGACCAGTGATTTGCTGAAAAGAATGAGTGTGAGGGATAAGTATTGGTTGCTTTCTGGCTGGACGGGGTTTTATTTGTGGTGAAATGTTAAGGAGTGTCTTCCTATGAACAATGGGTAGTTCGTTTCATTGGTCCAATTGAGATGTAGCAATTCAGATCTATATGGCAATTACTGACCCATTTATGCAAATCATAATGAAATATGCACAAATCTTCTAAAAAAGAGATGATCACTGCTAATTCCATTGATCTTATCCCTGATTGATCTTTGATCCTCTCGTCGACAGAATCATTATTGGGTATGTTTAGTTGAGACGAACAGTGTGGAAGAAAACAGTGAAAGAATTGGGCGTTGTCTGTTAAGATTTGTTTGTTAATCTCTTAGTGGATTTTTGATGGCAATCGAAAAATTGCAATCCAATGAATTTATAGTTAAGGTATTTTTTTTTAATTACCAACTTTTCAATGTCACTATTATTCCATGCTGATGAACAGCTGATCTCAAAATTACTGGTTTATAATTTTATGAGAGAAATCCTTCTTGAAAAAGTCTGGTAAATAATTTCATAGAACCTTAAGAAATATGTGTTTGAAAATGAAAAATTATTTTGTGCTAATTACAGTGTTAGTTTTAGGTACGCAGAGGCCGTATAGATCAGCCAGTATTCATGAAGAAAAAAGCCGTTATGACATTCAATCGTGATCAAAAAGACATCACTTTTCTGTACGATAACTGCTGCACCGTATGTTTTGTGTTTCCCTGATTTCTAAATTTTTACCTAATTTTAAGTTGATATGGTACTTTCTTTTCTTACCATTTTTTGAACTCCAATATTTTCGTATTGTTCTCTTCAATCTTCTTACGGCATAGGTTTTTATGGTTTTTTTTAGATAGAATTTCATCGAAAGATCAGTGGTGAATTCTTTTGTAAAAGAAACTGCATGCAAATTTTGCAGATATTAAAAACAAAGTTCATATCGCAAGTGCCTTGGTCACCGCCACGAGGATGCAAGCTGCGATTTATATCAGACATTCGAAATGACGAGGAAATGATTTTGGAATTTGAAAATCACGAAAAACTGATGGAAGCATTCTCAATTTTAAAGAACAAATATTTGGGTATTTGGGCATCATATCTAATCTTTTATAATTTTTTTTATAAGCAAAAATGCGAACTATTTATGGAGTTTGGTTTCAAACTTTGTAGACTTGCTGTCTATTAGATGATAAGTCTTCGGCTGAAAAACTCATGTAGAAAATTTTTTGTGTATAAGGAATGTAGTTTTGTGAGTTCTTATTGCAGAGCGATTGCAATTTGTATTCTCGAGTGAAGTGCACAGTGGTCGTGGTTTGCATACAACTAATATTGGGAGCAGGACGGAAACATCTGCTAAGTTAGTTACCTTTTCATTAAAATTATACTCCTGATTTTGCCTTATGCGAAAATTATGCCTTTTTCAGTTACGAAACACTTTCAATGCTTGTGGAGTCTCGACGAAGTCGCGTTAAAAATCGTTAGTTTTTTTTTTTTTTTTTGTTTTGTTTCGGAACTTTGATTCCAACACAGCCCCTTTACATCAATTTGAAATTATCGGTCACATTACTTGATTAATTGAATAGCTTAAACTCTGGTTGAGAGATCAGAATTGTTTTTTGAAACACATGTGATAATATGTATTTAGCATTCAAAAACGTATGCTTTTGTCATGTGTAATCAAATGATGTAGCTTATTTACGTCATTTCTATAATCTTATTCTTCTTTGTTGTTGGATAAATCGAAACAACGTCTTATTTATAGCAAGTTAACTTAATGAAAGTAAAAAAATTTCCAAAAGAGCATGGTTAACATTCGTAATTAACAGCTTGATCTGCCAGAAAAATCACATTCGTATGTCGAAGAAACAAAAGAATCCTTCTTCTTATATTTCATGATGTTGCCTAATTTTTTGCCTATTTTTTTTTAAAAAAATTGCCTAATTTTCCATAGTGCAAAATAATGTTGAGATATCACTTTTTAGTTATAGAAATGTTCGAACGTTTGGCATTTTCACCACCAACTTTAAAGCGATCTAAACAATCTGAACCACGAAATGAGTTGACAATAGAAGAACGAGTAAAGCCATCACCATCAACAGAAAAATATATTAAACCATTGCCTCTCCAGTAAGTATTTGAAGAGCAAAAGTAAGGTAAACAACACCTATATGTTTATTTTTGGGTTTATTTTGCAAGTCATTTTTATAATTGTTGCTTTAACATACAGATTTGGAGAATCAGAGGAAGTTAAGAAAAGTCAGCGTAATCCAATTTTTGTCGAGTATAACAAGGTAGGGAATCTCTTCTTATAGTACTTGCACTTTTCATCGTTTTGTCTCGGATTCGTGGATATCTATTGCAGAGAGAACATACTCCGGTGCAGTTAATACCAGCAATGCGCACATTGGATGATTATCAAGTCAACAAACCAACTACTTCCAAAGAAAAGTTTTCTGGGTAAGTTAATTTACTTCATAATTAACGAAAATAATTCTATGCAACACATAATACATTAGTGATTAGTCACCATCTTCTGAATGTGCAACAACACATCTCTTCATTACAACATAAAATTTATGAACTGTTGGTTTTTGTTATTCAGCAATTGGAAATACAAGTTGCTTTTAGCTTCTAATATTTTTCAGATCCATATTATTTTTTGAAAGGATATAACAATAATGGTTAAGCTAGCTGCGAAATCTCCTACACTGTCCTTTTCTATTTTATGTTTTCCTTCAAAAAATACAATGCGTGCAAAAGCTAAATTTTTTAAGATTTGCTAATCTCGGCAACACGTGCTACATGAATGCGATGCTACAGGGATTGTTTGCCATGGATATTTTTGTTAAGGATCTTTTCAAACTTTGTAAGAAAGCTCAGAATCGTAAAGTGAACTTGGATAAAGTAATGCCAATGAGCTTGTATGTTTTGTTTTTGCGGTTAATTGGTAAAAGGAGGTCATCTTATAAAATTTTTCCAAAGATGTACTATTAATGGGAATGCAACGCTCAGTTTTGCTTATGACAGAAGTGAGAGCTAATTGTGGAGATCATTTTGTCGATATTTCCATTTAGAGCACTTTCGAGTCTTGCAAGTATACGAGACAATACCTCAGATCATCAAAAGCGAAAACTGTTGACAGCAGTGAAAGATGTGTTGCCTTTTAAAGGCAGTGCTCAGCAAGTTGGTAATTTTGTTTCAATGGAAGCCACGAAGTCCATTTTTCGATTTTTTTTAAAAAAATGCTCTTCATGCAATACTCAAATCTCACTCATTTAGTAAATATCAACTGTAGAATTTGGCATAAAATGTTTAGCGCATTAGATTTTGCGGTAATGAGATGTACAGAACACTACGGTACGAGTAAAGGAATTTAATTGTGAAAATAGAAATACTCCCAAGGAATTCCAAATGAGTGCAAAAAAATATCTTTAAAAAAATACCTTAAATGAGTTCAAAAGGTATTCAGTTTAGGATGCCAATGAATTTTTGGTCCACGTGCTCAATCAAGTTCATGATGAATGTGATAATCTGTTGCGTGAACAGTACGGAATTGAAAATGCCGCGGAAAGGCGCATTAGGAATCCAGTAATGGCAAATTTTGCTTTCACTATGCAAAGCACTATTATTTGCAACATGTAAGTTTTCTCTACCAACAGTCCAGCAATAGCTGAATTAGTTAATCAATTTTTGGCATAAAATATGCAAAAAATATATGCTTCCTTGGAAATGATGAAGAATGAAGCTCTAAATGATCTAATAAATGCTAAGTAATAATGAGAACGCTCTATTCAGGTGCCATCATGTTTCACAAATTAACGAAGACAACATTATTTTACCAGTTACTATCAATATTTTGGATCAAAAAAATGAACGGTGAGTAAGCAGGTATGAATGCAGTCTGGTAGTCTTGAGCTATTTGTCTTTAACTTTATTTATAAAAGCTGAGCGTGCTTCTTTTCAAAGTAATGTGGTAATCGGGAAAAAGGAACTCATAACCTATAATAAGCATTTATTTTTCATTTTAGGTTCCCGAAAAAGTTCTCATGTTTTCCAAGTATGCAGACTTTGTTGGATGATTTTTTGAAGGCGGAAAACGTAGAGAGAAAATGTGAACTTTGTCAAGGAGAAAGTGGACAAAGAACACAAAAATTCGTTCAACTTCCACGGTAATAAAAAATAATTCATTTTAAGTAACTGATCTGATGTACTTTTTTATGAGTCATTTGCTATACCAAAATAAACATCACATAAGAAGAGAGCTTAGTTGATTTAAGTATGATAAAGTATAAATCTTTCAAAGATATTAAGGAGAGTGTTGTATGAGAAATCAATCGAATTAGTTTGGACAGTAATATCAAGCTTTTCAAGTAAAATTGTACGAAGAGGTTTGAATAAATGAGTAATTCCTTTTAATTTGTGTATTTCTGACTTAGTTATTACAGATGTCTTATAATACTAATCAAACGATATGTTTATGATGCATCGAAAAGTGTGAAGCGTACTGATAAGATTGATATCCCCTTGTATTTGACTCTAAATGGACATTGCACTGAGTCGCCAACTCCGTTTTTCGCCGTATCACTAAGTACAAAGTAAGCGTCCCAGACAGAAAACAAATTATTTGAGAAAGATATTCCACGACAAAAAGCGACTAGCAAGAGCAAAAAGTTCTAAATATCGGATGTGAAATACTGTTTTCCATTGCACTAAAACTGTTCAAAAATTAGAATTTATGACTGTACCAATAGTAAATTTTAATTCTGTTTTTTTCCTGTTCTACGAATCAGTTCCAATCACCATTACATGTTCAGTAAAGTATTATAGGATGTAGAATTTCATTTCTTGACAGAAAGTTAATAGGGAGTATAAGTTCAATAATTAAGTTTCATATAATTGAACCGTTAAGCACTGTATTTACGATTATGGATTGTATTTACAATTAACCTTAGATTTAATGATCTTTGTTGCTTTAGAAAGATCGATTTTGCAATTGTGAGTCCGATTAAAACAGATTTAATAGCAATATCAGCTGGTGCGCCTTCACCGACCGGACGTTGTCTAGATTTGTCAGATGAGAGAACCAGTTATGATACTCGAAATGTTAGCGCTATGGAGGAAGCGCATCATGCGACGACAAATTTCTACAGTCATCGTGTGGATTATAGGACAGGTAAGGACAGAAATGTAGCAACAAGCTAAGTAGGAAAAAATTAAGACCTAAGACACTCATAATAATCAATTTGGATATTCGTGGAAATTCTTCGAAAAAATTTGAGATGGATGAGTTAGGAGGTAAATTAGGTTAAGAATAAATTTGGAAGTTAACTGCAAATATATTGTTCCTTAACCAGTTAGTAATTTATAAAACGGAGTATTTTCAGTGCGAACTAATCATGGTGTGGGTTTTGTTGTTCCCGGTATTGGTTCGGAGTTCAAGGTTTGTGAGTCAAATATATGATTTTTTTTTCCTTATTTAAAATGGTACATAAAACATGATGATATTATATTACAGGGCCGAGATCAAGTAACTGAAGATTTTGTTGTACCGTGGAGCTCGGCGGAAGAGTATATTTCTTTTTTTTTTTAGTCAGATGCTGTAGTTGCACTAGAATATCTTTTGCACAATAAACATTCTAGTTTAATATAGTACAACAGCCACAATAAGTTAAAAAAGCAATATTCATGTTACTCACTTGGTGTCTGTTTCAGTTTTAAAAGGCCACTGAGCAGCTTAGCATGCGAAGAGTTAAGTCGTATGAACGAAGAAGAGCAGCTGCAAGTGGTGAATATTGACTTTTAACATTTCAAAGCTTAAGCTAGTTGAAGTCTAACGCTTCTTATAACGGAATCCTGTCTATCCGTATAGTTTCACAAGTAAATCATTAAAATCACTTAAAATATAGTACTCGAGCTATCCTGGAATGTTAAGATTGCCGGTATGATTGAAACCAGCTGCCACCCCGGATTTGACTATCCCGATTAGTACTTAAGGACATTATATATAGGATAAGCAGAATATCTACAGCACCTTTGTAACGATTTGGCTTTGGGAGTTCATTCCATTGGAGTTCATTAAGATAATATATTGTATGGATCTAAAAAATATAGATCAGTAATTATTAATTGTCGACTTCGGGAAATTCAACATTAATTATTAATTGTAGGTTTGCGAGCGAAGCTTGATGCAGATGAGCGATCAGAATAAATCAAGTGATTCATCTCTGTCTGTTGAATTTCCCGAAGTCGAAGCTGAAGAAGAGGTTCGAAAGAAATGTTTTGAAATACTTCTCTGTAAATAGTTAGATGTGAATAATGCCATCCGAGAAATTCTTAGATCCAACATTTTGTCCTTTTTATATTAGACATTGGAATTTTTTTAGAACGACGAGGCAGATATACTACGTGGGCAGGTTGATGATATTCATAATGACCATAAGGAGAAGTCAGAGGAGAAGCCAATTCCAAATATAGGATTATTTGAGAAAATGAGGGATGAGCAAGCGGGAAGTTGCAGGCAAGGAGTTCAGTCTGCTAGCCAGCAGGAAGGCAGTGTGAGTGTCACGGAAACTAATAGTGAAGCTAAACTTGAAAATACGAAATTTTATTGTGAAAGAAGCGTAGTAGTGTTTTATGCTAGTGTTGACATTAGGCCAGTTAGGCAAGGTGACTGTGAGATAGAGCCTAAAGTAAGTTAGATTTGGTGTTTACAAAAGCAATAAAGACACCTAATGTAATAATAAATCAAGCAAAGAGGTTTTGTTCTATATGGACCACAGGACCATCTTAGGCCAAAAAAGAGCGATACATCTAAAGATCTCCAAGAGCCAAAGTAAACTGTTGGAAAATTTGCCATTAAATGACAGTAAGAGTCAGATATCGATGTTCAGTGTTGCTCTTTTTAACAGCTTGTATATATGTAACATTCCACGAATGATTTGCAAATCAAAAAGATTAAAGTTTTAATTTCAGACTGGAGAGAGTTGCATGAAACCTCTCGCACAGTCACCAATCGCAGGTGAAATGCAGGAGAAACAAAGGCAAGATGATTATACTATTAAAAAGATCGTGGCGGATAATTTCAATATATCTCACTTGTCACAAGAAAGAGTGGGAACTCTTACACCAGATGCACATGAAGGTAATGGAAAGTTATGGGTGTATGTTTCAAAGTTCACAAATTAAGATTAATTCCAGCACGGCAAATTTGGAGTTAAAAATTTTATACACCCAGTTTTGCTATTATCTGCCCAATTTTATGATCTGAGTATCCTTTTAGCCATTGAAGATAAAAGAGGACCAACTAGGCCATTCACACCTGTCCCTCCTAACACTCCGATTAGTGTGACTGAGCAACATCAAGAGAAAATGTCGCGCAGAAATAGTCTGTCCAGTGATGATGTAAGTTTAGCAATTTACATCTGAAGTTATACTTTGCATTATTGCGTGATTTGCAAATGAGTTAATGTTTTTTCAATATGTGCATGAACCCAAAATTTTCTCTGTTGTTCTATACTTTTAGTGTACAACTCACCCGTCTTATAAATTCAGTTCTTGACAACCGAGGTTGTCCATATAGCCAAAAACATCCTTATTGCACAAAGAAGAGATAAAACAAGGAGTTTGCATTCTATTCCGGTGCAATAAGCTACATACGCCACAGTCCGATCTTTTCTAGTCATATTGCTAGAGTAATTTAAAGTTGACATGAGTAAAGCTATACGTTTTAAATTTCACTGTTATTTTTGCATTTAAAAAATAAGTTGAGATGTTTCTTTCTTAAGGAAGAAATTTTGGAGGAATCTAGCACGCAACTGGTACCGTACAAACCGATATCTGCTGAAAAACGACGTGCTATTTGTTCTCAAATTGGTTTACTCTTCAATTATGATTGCATGTTCGGTTTTTTTGAATTTTCGGTATTTTAGTTGAGTTAAAAGATATGTAGTTCTTATAAACTTTGTTTCATGTGAGATAATACATGATTAGTCTACGAAAAGTTAGATTTAAAATTAATTTTCAAAATGCTTAGTTATGTGGTTATTTTAACAAAAATGAAATTCCAGTGAAAAAGCCACTTTTCGCATAATGAGTACAAATGATCGTCCATCTCGAGTTGCTGATATTGTTGGTGACGGCAACTGCTTGTTCCGGGCGCTAGCTTTTTATTTCGCCGGTAGCGATATCGAATATTCAAGAGTTCGGAAATGTGTAATATTTTAAAGCCTTTTATATATTGATCCTAAAAATGTAAATTAACTTTAATTGTATAGATATGTGTTCCATCGTCTGCAGCACCATCAAATTTCAAACGAATTATTTCTGAGTCCTATTGTTTTAACTGACCAGTTTTCCAATGTAAAATAGTTTACTTTCACCATATAGTTGTGAAGTTAACATCCATGCATGAAAACAGGATAATTTGCAATGTACTTGATGAAGTTTGGATTAAGTTTCATTAAGATGCATTGAAGTTAGCTTCAGAGCAGGTTTGAATTTAGTTTTAAATCATCATAGCTTTTTGGGTCAATTTTTTGTTAGTACTGAAATTATGTGACAAAATTTTCGGAAATGGTGGATATTGTTACATAAATGCTATTTTACGAATTGCCAAATTAATATTTATAGATTGTTGAATTTGAAGCAGAGCACTGGAATGAATTTGCTGCTTTGAAAGATTGGTCGTCAGAAATCTGGAATGACCACATGAATCACTTGTTGACCGATAATACATGGGGTACTGAAATTGAACTTTTCGCTGTCGCGGCAATGTTAAGTGTTGATGTGTGGACGTATTATGATCAGCGATGGATTTGCTATCGACCAAGATTTAGAGTCCAAAATGGTGATATTATACGTGAGTTTGTTTTATCGCTTCTTAATGGTCATCTGACACTGATTTAAACTGAATTGTGAGAAATTCACAGATTTTTCTCTTATTCAAATAAAAATACTTTCGTATTCTTATTTGATGTTGGTTTCTTCTAGAAACTTCTTGCGAGCTAGAAGTGTTACAACACTTATATTAACTGTAAAATGAGCAGCTTAATGAAATTAAATTTGATGCAGTACTATGACTTTCACAAATGTGATTGAAATGAGATGTGTAGGCCATATTAAAACTGATAAAATGTTTTCATTTTATTTCATATTATTTCTTACTATTATTTTCGTATTATTTTCAACTGTTATTAAGCTTGATATTGGGAAGTTTTAGGCATATCTGTTGATGATTATCGGGTAGGTGATAACGATGGTATATACTTACTGAACGAATCCAACCACTTTACACCGGTGCTTGAACCTTCGGTTAGAGTTTGTATTCGTTTGCATTGTTTCAGATCGACCAGGTTTCAGATATCTTCGACATTTGAATAGTATTCTTAAATTAAGTCAGTGATTTCATTCGGGAACAATTCAAATTGTATTCTGATTACTCGATAACTTAATGATAATAAATTGATTCAGAATGCACTTCTGTTAATGGAAGGTGTTGACGAGCGAATTTATGATCTAGTTATGAACGCCAAGGTAAGTTTCAGACAGAGTCGATTATTTTGGTTGTTAGCATATTTTAAGGTACAATAATTTTTTTTTCTCATTGCGCTAATCTGATATAGCTCCCACCTGAATTTTGAAATGAAGAGCATGGCAGCAATTTTAGTTTAGTAACGGATATTTTTTCATTAAGGAAGGTTTCATGAAGCCATCTTATCGACTTGTTTCGGTTATCAGTCATCTCGGACATACAAGCGAAAGCGGTGAATTTTTTAATTCATTTTATGAACTTCATGGTCAGCTTTTCTATTTGACTTTTTTTTTGTTTCTTACAGTAAATTTCCCCGATAAGGAACCTAAATTTCTAACTTCAGAAAAACAAGAAAACAATCATTTCTAGGCCACTACGTATGTGATGTTTGGTGCAAAAAAAATAGGGGTTGGCTGTTATGTGACGATGAATCAATTTCGTCTACTAGTGAAAGGAAGATTCGAGCCAGGAAAAATGTCGGATACATTTACTTTTATCTAAACAGGTGATTTTTTGAACTTTGCAAGCGTTGTATTAGCTGTTGTGAATAACCAAAACTTCCAGTGCTTATGTTGTTTTCTATACCCAAAATTTTGAGAAAAGTAGCACATTGTCTATTATGCAGCATAAGTTCACTGCATAGATAATCATTATCCAAAAGCCTTTTGTTTTTTTTCCCTTTTTTTTTTGACGAAGTCTTAGAAGAGTAATCACTTTCATATTTTACTCGCGAAAACTTCTTTCAGCGAACTGTTCGATAATAAGAATGCTTGACAGGTAAATCAATAACTAGTCATTATTTTATCCTGGTCAGCGGTTTGAAGATTTTTGGATTTTCCCTTAATTCTTTAAATTAAATCTTTGAGTTTTTTTTTTTCTTTTGGTACTTTACTCTAACATTACGATTTCAATATCACCTGATGTGGATGTGATGTTAGTAATTGCTGTGCGCTTATTTTTTTAATTTTTGATGGATACGGAGTCATGACAAAGCTTTCGAAAATTCATAATTCAACAAAAATTCGGTGGAGCGATTCTCCATATTGCAACGAGTTTTATGTGCTCTTCTGTACATTGTTTTCTTTGTTCTCGATCTAATCGTTCCTTAATTAAAATTGATATGAAAGGACGATGTTGTATACAATAAATGACCAGTGAAGTTTTGCTTGGCATTACTTGCTAATTTAGTTTTTTCTGGTTAGAAATTGGTACTTGAAATGAGAGTTTCAGAAAGTCATGGAAAAAGAATGGTTGGCTGGAAGGGAGGAAGAAAAAGAAAAATAATGAAGGAAATAACTACTGTACTATAAATCTTATAATATCTACTGTATCTTGGAGTGGACTGCTGGTAATGATCAATAATGCATAAAATGATTTTTCTTTCGATCAATATCGGTTTCGCCATCTTTATAGATTTATCATCCTGAATTTTCTAAAATTATAACTGCTACTGCAAAGAGATGTTTGGGATAAAGAAAAGGACCTTATCTACCATGATAGTTCATGCATTATCGTTTCTACGATTAACCAAGAAGGCGTGAGCAGAGCACTAAAATTTAACCAGTTCAAGATGTTGAAATGAGAGTTGTTTGTGGCGCTCTTAAAGTAGAGAAGAACTGAACTGAAGTAGTTGTATTTCGTAAAGTTATTCATCGACCTGATCTCAACTAACAATTCAAATTAATAAGTCGATGCTTAGTCCAGATAAGCAGTGGAATTGATACCCGCAACTTCTATCTCTCCGTTGCTGTCTAGTTTCACAGGTTCCTGTTTTATCGAATATCACTTTTCTCCTTTGACAAGTGGATGTGTGCAGTGCCTGGATCTCTTAAACATACACCTGGTTAGACATTGATCATTAATGCATAGAGAATGACTTATTATATTTTACGCTGTATGCTTTCTTGTTAGTCTTCTCCATTTTATCATATAAAGTTAGATATTATTCCTGTTGTCCGACCAGAAGAAAAATTCGATATTGAAGTGGCTTCTCTTCCCGAACGCACCCAGTAGCGAAACTGCCAACACAAACAACAGCAGCTTTGGAATTGTGTAATGATTTCTTCGATTACTGGCTCATTTTGTTTAGTAAAGTCTTGATCATTACTATTTATAGAACAAACTGCAGTCTTCGTTTTCTTTTTGTGTGATAATTAATTTCAGTTCTAAGTTTCTCGTAGTAACTTGGGACTTTGCTATTGCTTAATGTTATAGGATAGCGCACTACTCTCACTTTTCAGGAAGAGTAAGATATAATCCCATCAAATCAATGAGTTTTGTTGCAACGAAACGTCTGATTGCTATCATTACAGGTACTCTTATTAGTGTGCTTATTTTTTGCTTTGATTTGTTCAAATATTCTGAAGTACACTAGGAAATACTATATATATGGTCAAAATTTACGTCTTTTATGTTCATTTCTTTATAGATGAAATCTGCATTTTATGCTTTATTTTTTATTTTAACTGATTTGTTTTTGCTTAGATATCATAAACTATTTCCCAACTTATTTTTCTTATCCACTTTCTTTTAAAATTTGAAGGTGCGAGTTCTGGGATTGGTAAAGCCACAGCAGAATATTTTGCTGAAAAGGGCTACAATTTGTCATTGAATGGTCGAAATGAAAAGGCGCTCGAAGCAACGGTTAAAAATTGCATGACGAAAGGCTTAAGCAAAGATTCGGTATCATTAGACGATATGTTTAATATGTTTATGGTAAAAAATTGGTTAATAAGTTGATCTAAAATAGGAAGGAAGCGAAGCTTTAAATTTTCATAGTAAGGCTGAAGAATGCTTGTCTTTTGCTTTATTTCATACAGAAATAATTTGATTGAGAACTGAGGCATATATTTTTTCTAACAAAAAATCAAATGTTAAACTGTCGAAACATAGATCTAAGTAAAGGAACATGAGTGAGATTACTTACCTTAATTTTCTTTTTTATATGGAATAAAGTTTGAATCTTAATATGCATGAGCGATACACGCAAGAATAAATTAGATTATTGTGAGAGACGATGTACAAGGTGCGTTCGAAATCTTTTTGCTCAGTGCACCTACAATTCGCACGATTTATGGCAGTTAGCCGCGTTCTTCATCGATTCACGAGTCGAGTAATCCATCGCTAAGAGTTAAAAATTAGTAGTAATGCTAATGAAAAAGATAATTACAATAATAATACGTGTGTGTATGTGTGTTTGTTATTTCGATTAGTAGTATATCTAGCTTAAATGCTTACTTAATTAATTGGGTTATCGCTTTATCTTCATCGTTATCGACGGTTAGGCGATAACTTGAATGACATATAGGTACTAACGAATTATCACCGTTTATTCATATTTTACACATATTATCATTATTACTACTTATTAACATTATTCGTTAGAAATGAATGATAACTGATGAGTAAAGGATGATGTCCATTAATTTGAACCATATCTGTAATTAAACAGTGAGATAATGGATCTTTTTGTGTGCTTCCACTCCTGCTGTCTTTTATTAGCTCGCTCTACTCGACTTCAGACTTTTTCTTTCAGAAGATATATTTATCTAGGTTTAAAACTTTAGCTGTTACCACTCTCACATTGTAGAGTGACTATTGGTTTTCATCAGATTTATTAGAAAATATTCCAGTTAAATTCTTATATTATTTAGATTTTGACTACAACGGGAGATTTGACGGATGAAAAAGTTGTAAATTCCCTGGTCGAGCGTACAATGGAAAAATTTGGACGAACTGATTCGTTGATTAATGCTGCGGGAATCCTAATTAATGGTATAATTTCTGGTATATGAATAAGGATATTTTCGAACGAAATAGAGTAATCAATCATTCTAAAAGGTAATGTTGTCAGCTTTCTTTGTAAATTCCCGTTATGTATCATCGGATCCCTAATCGAACGCATCAATTTGTGAAAAATTCTGATGTGTCTGTGATGGAGGATGCACCATCTAGGGAAAGTAATGGATTGCTCTATGCAAGATTACGATTATCTGATGAATGTAAACCTTCGAAGTATTGTTCAATTAACGCGGAAAGTTGTACCCTATCTTATCAAAACGAAAGGTTCAATTGTGAACGTAAGCAGTATCAATGGTCCATGTCCTGTCAGTTTTTTCGTTTTCTTTATCAAGCAGTCTAAAAATGGAATGACGTTGGACTTGTACTTGTTCACTTTAGATTAACTAATGTATTTAATGTTAACCACCTTTTCCATTTTCTATATATGAGTGCATATAGTTTAAAAGAATTTCAAAAAAACTTCCTTTCAGTTTAGTGGCGTAGCATTTTACTGTGTGTCAAAAGCAGGATTGGATCAGTTTACGAAATGTCTAGCTCTTGAGTTGGGTCCTGAGGGAGTTAGAGTCAATTCTGTGAAGTAAATTTTTAAAAAATTACATCTGTATTTTTATTCTGAAGTTTCTCGGTTTGAATATCTGTTTAGAAAATAATACGCCCAACTTTTCAATTCTAGCCCTGGTGTGGTCGTCACCGATATACACAAAAGATCCGGCATGACTGATAAAGATTATCATGAGGTAAATTTTTGCTAAAGATTTCCCTTATAGCTAAGGATTTCTTTAAAATTTGGCTAATTTTTTTCCTTATAGGGAAGAAAGTTAGCAAAATTAACTTAATATCAATACATGTAAAAAGGTGCAAGGCAAGAAATATAAAGGGAATTTTTGAGATGAAATTCTTAATTGTGTTTATAGTCAACTGTCGTTGAGTTTCTGGACGTTTTGTAAATAACTATTTCAGTTTCTTGATCGAGCAACTAAATTTGCTGCACTCGGTAAAACTGGAACAGCTGTGGATATTGCCAGAGCTATTTATTTCCTGGCAAGCAATAAATCGTCATTTATTACTGGTGATCTGCTTAGAGTTGATGGTGGACGAGGTATTATGCATTTAAGATGATCTTCATCACTTCGATTTTTAAATATATTTGTGCTTATAGATAATTCTGCTTACAAAAAAGGAGAAGCATGCTAACATTTCACATAGAGTTTATACTTTAATCCAGTATGTTCTGGAAGTTTTCTACATCTACATTTTGTATAAATAGAATTAGAATTTTGGATAAAGAGCAAAACAATGAAATAAATTTGTGATGTAGTCAGCATGTAAAATGCAGATGGATTTTCGTAATACAAATGGTAGTAATACATTCAGAAATTCCACTGAATTCTTGATTACTGTGACTAGTTGGATAATTTTTCGATGTAACTGGCCAATTCGACATCTCTTTTCGACAAGCCATTTACATCGTGACTGCTTAGAGTCACTTCAATCTGAAACTTGCTCATCCATGCCTTCTTTTAACTTTTTTGCGTTTCTCTAGTATTTTACGAGACCATTAATTTCAAACATCTAACCTTATTATAAACATTGAACCATTCCGGATGATGATTCATTTTCTCTGCACACATTGCTACTTGTGTCATAAAACCAAATGCCTAGAAAAGATTTTAGGATTTAATAACAAGTTAGACTTTTCTGGAGATTGAGAAGGAAGACAAGAGGAAGAATGGAAAATTTTACTTCACTAAAATTTTTGAACTGTAAATTCTTCCGAATGGCATCTCGACCTTCAACCATTTTCCATCCTTTATTGATTAGCGGTTGCAACAATTGCTTTCTTTGTTGTTCATTCAAAATCTGAATTTGAACATCGTTAATATTGCAAATACAGTTCTGCCCATATAAAGTTTACTACTCATCCAGCAATTCTGCTGCGGTTTTAGCGACCAAAGTTGTTGTGACTACTGCAT